GGCATCAAGTCTTCCACCGCAACCTCGGCGTCAGGAAGCCTCATCCCTCGGATTTGGCCCTTCGGGCCACAGCGTGGGCCGCAGGGGGGGGACCTTCGGCATATGAAAGCCTGGGGTGCTCGCAGGCTCTGGACGAGGCGCGGCGGGTGGAGGAGCACAGCTGAGGCCCGACGACCTCCGGCAATCCTCAGCAAGCTTCGGACTCCTGCAGGTTACACGGATTTTCCACAAAAATCCGATGGGACCCAAAGATCTGGACGTCGCAACAAAAATCGCGACGGCCAGTTGCTCAACGTTCCCAGCATATCGGGAAGCATCCCAGAGGCGAAGCCCGAAAAGCATGGCCTGAGGCACGTGCGCGGACGAGGGGGGGGGGCCAGCGTACGTGCTAGAGGGGGCCATGAGATGCAGGGAGATCTCATGGGCCCCGCCATGAAAGCCCCCCCGCCCCCCTGGTCACCACGCCCCTCTTGGGCGCCCCCCAAGCATCCGAACGGCGCTTCCCCGCACTGGGGAGCGTCAAACCTGATAGCGTCACGCACCCCGACCTTAGAGCAGTGTGCGCTCCCGCACTGTGCGACTCCACTTGAGGGCCGAAGCAAGCCGCTCACGGCTGTGTGAAAGGCTGTCTTAGAAGCTCGTGTCATCGCTGTGGTCACCCGAGCGATTTGTCTGTGCAACTGCGTCTCAGGGGAACGTCAAACAAACAGCCTGGCGAAGGGCCCAAACCCACGAAGCTGCGTGCAACACACGGCGCTCCCCTCTGCGCGCCGCGGGACGGTGCAAATCGGGGATCTGCGGAGCAGCAAGCAAGCAGAGGCGCGCAGGATGGTCTGCGGGTCACAATCCGCGCGAGCGGAGAGCTGAAGTGGAAGCCGTGGGTGGACCTATCATCATGAACCCTACCATGAGGAACGCTAGATACCATGGGCGTAGGTGAAGCTTCAATCAGGAACGCTACCGTGGCCGCACAGTCCTCGTGCTACCGTGAAAAGCGCTAAATCGGAAATGGAAAAACTTGTCTGGCCACGGCGAGTCTTGGCCACGAACAGAGTCTCCGACCTAGATCTAAGGAACAGTCCGAAAACTAGATCCCTCCTGGGCCCAACGATGTCCATATTTCCAGATTTCAGCGTCTCCGCAGTAGGTGGAGCTCCCTGCGGAGCACGATCGGGTGAGGGGTGCGCATGTCGCAGCGCACTCACTGGGGCAGCAGGTGGAGCTTACTGTGGGGCACGGATCCTATGATGGTGTGCCGAGATGAATGGGGGGCGGCATGCGGTCACACCCACTGAGGCCGTAGGTGGAGCTCTCTGAGAGGCATTCCAGGGGTGTGCCGACATGGGCGAGGGCAGCAAGAGGAGGAGGAGGAGGAGGAGGAGGAAGAGGAAGAGATGGAGGTGGAGGAGGAGGAGGAGGAGGAGGAGGAGGAGGAGGGAGGAGGAGGAGGAGGGAGGAGGAGACGCAAGGCGCTGCGTACTCAAAACGAAGACCCCAACACCACAGGATCGTTGGGAACAACTCGGACCAGGGAAGGAGATCGCCCGGGGCCCACTCTACGGCAATCGGCGTCCATCCCGTGAATCTTTCAATGTGCGGCCCAAGAGGTCCCGACCCCTCCCCCGAGGGGGGGGGGGCCAGGTGTCGTCCCCGATCCATTGTCGATGGCCCCGCGGCCCACTGACGAGCCCCAGGGGCCGAGATCGAGGAAACATGCCCAGACTGAACAAAGACACGCCGTCGGAGATCTGGGCCTTCCCGCCCCGGCTCTTCCTCCCGGGGCCGCCTCGGGTGCCCCGCCCCGGGTCTCCATCCCGGGCCGCCCGACCCCGAGGTCCAACCGCCGGGCCGTCCAAGCACTCCGAGAGGTTTAACCCCCGGGGCCACCCGGTCGCGTCCGAGGCTCTTGCCCCCGGGCCGAGTCGCACGCTCCCTCGGGCCCCCCCGGGAACCGGCCCCGGGGGGTGCGTCCTGCCGCCCGGGCCGTTGGAGGGGGGATCGCCGCATCGCCGCCGCTCCCCGACGGCGTCCTTGGCCGCGGAGCCCGCTGGCGCCAACTTCATGCCTGCAGGTCGGGCGGGGAGGAGAACTTGTAGGATTGCGGATGCCATGACAATGGACACTCGAACATGTCTACCATTGAATTGAAGATGTGATTAAAGTGTATAAACATGTTGTAAAAATGTTTCAAACCTGTGTTTGACACATGTAAAACATGTTTGAAACATCGTTTAGACATCTGGACATTATTTGGCAGCACGCTTCCTCTCCATTAACCGACTTCCACAATGGTAGGATTGGTGGAGTGGGAATCCTGACCTGTAGCACAGTTTGGCGACGCCTGCCACGGAATGGCGGGGCCCCCTGTCGAAGGTCAGACGGCAAAGAGAAAGCTGGTGGAGTGCTGAGGGCACGTGACCTGAGAGAATAACACGTTTTGGCGATGCCTGCCGCGGTCTGGTGGGACCTCCCTGGAGGGTCAGACAGCACTGGCGGGATTAGTGGGTTGGGAAAGTCAAACAAAAAACTGAAACGTTCGTGACATAACGTGGCGTCCGACCGACATATGTCTTCATTTCACGCCAAAGACCACCAGGGCACATTCCACAAATCACTGTTCTGTATTGTGGATGTGTTCACTCTCCATTTGGCGCTGATCAGTCGGTGCGCGTTCCAATTTGGCACGGGATTCCTCCTTTAAGTGCTACCACTTCCTAATGAGACAGGTGCTGCTTGGATGAGATCCACCTCAGCCGTGCGCCGCGTTTGAACAAAAAACATGTTGGAGGTCTGGGTTGAAAGCCCCACCGCTCACTCCCCACAGCGCCTGTCCACTTCACTATCTGCAGCTGCTGCGCCTTGGAGAAGAACGTCCCGGCGCCCTCGAGAGCCTCCGCGAACGTGTCCGCCTCGACTTGGTCAGCGTGAGAGAGTTCCGCCTGGAACGACTTCTGGCTCAGCACGCGGAACACGCGACAGCTCCTCGGTGTCCCTTCGGACTGCACTCCCAGATCTTGCACACTTCCGATCCCGACACCACAGTCGCAGGCGTCGCAGGAAAATTGTGACGACCAGTTGTTCTAGTGTTCGGCCTCCCGAGGCCGTTTCTCGGCCACGGCCCTGTCAGAAAAAACAGCTACGGATCAGCAAGAAGGCCCCGGGGAAGGGATCGAAAACCCGGCAAGCCCACGTCAAGAAAAAATTGCGACGTCGGCGGAAAAGCGGGGCCCGATCCCGATCCTCCCTCTTCTCCGAAGTCGCAAACTGTTCACAGCGTGGACCCCCAAGGGTCTCGACCCCTTTCGAAAGGCCGAGTGTTCATCCCTGACGGCCGCAGGGCCGGAAAACGGCTTCCAGAGGCCGAAGAGACCCAAAAACTGACCATCACTGTTGCTGCGCCCAGGCCTGAAGGTCCTCCTCCAAAAATCGGCCCCCGGTGGACCCGTCCCGGGGTTCGTTCTGGCCAAATTCGAAGCAGATCAAGACGCTGCGACGAGAAGGTTTCTGGAGGCCCCCAACGGGGGACACCCACTCACTCACTCAAAGCCAGGCACCCGGACGGCGCATCGGCAGCAAAGCATGGCTAAATGATTCGCAGGAAGCCAATGCCCCCCACGTACACCACACCAAACGTGCATCACTCCATCGACCAGCGGGCAACGGTTATCAGAATTCATTGAACAAAACATTGGAACGTCGAATGGCAAGGGAAGGGGAAGGGAGGGAGGAACTCGGCAATCACGGCCTGACCCCCGTAGGCTGGCCTCACGTGAATGTCCATCCTGTTCTTCCATCGCTGCTCCGACCCCGGGGATCGATATATCATGGCTTGCTCCACCCGTCTGCGGGCGTGGCATTTTTTCGTGGCTTCGTTCATGACCTGCGTCGTCCAACTTTGCCTCGGGCGCCCAAACATGCGGATGAATGAGCACATCATAAGACGCACCGACGCGCCGACGAAAGTTTTGCGCCGCCACGATGTGAGAGTACCAACGATTGGTCGAGCATCTGGTCCGTGACTGGCCAGGCGCCTGCACGGCGGAAGCCCTCGTCATTTGAAACTCTCGAAATGAATGCTGCCAGCACGTTGAATGCCGCCAGCACGCATGCACCAGTCAGATCCTGAAGCGGGACTTGGGCGAACCTATGACTCAGTCCAACTCGACTGTGTATTCGAGCGGTCTCGTGAGTAAAGATGGCTGGGTGGATCCTGAATCGACCCGGAGGATTGGTGCCACCCGCGTTAACTTTATGTTAGGCTTTCGTCTTGTCACAGCTCCGATACGGCCTGTGAACGACCTGGTCGATGATGGCCCAGAGACGCAAACGTCTGGGTATCCACAACGAGGAATAAAAACTAAAAACCTCCATGCTCGAAGATCGACCTTGAGAACAATCGTCGGACCTGGCGACGGATCTGAGTAAAACCGTCGAGCCAAGCGGACCGAAGAGCATGATCGTGCCGCCTCCGCCTCCCTCTTCCTCCCACCTCCTCCTCCTCCTCCACCTCCTCCTCCTCCTCCTCCACCTCCGCCTCCTCCACCTCACCCTCCTCCTCCTCCTCCTTCTCCTCCTCCTCCAGCTTCTCCTCCGCCTCCGCCTCCGCCTCCGCCTCCGCCTCCGCCTCCTCATCCTCCTTTCCAGCCCCATCGTCCTTCTCCTCCTCCTCCTCCTCCCCCTCCTCCTCCTCCTCCTCCTCCTCCTCAGCCTGCTCATCCTCCGCCTCCTCCTCATCCTCCTCCTCATCCTCCTCCTCCTCCTGTTCCTCCTCCTCCTGTTCCTCCTCCTCCTCATCCTCCTCCTCCTCCTCCTCCTCCTTCTCCTCCATTCCTTTTCCTTGTACATTACTTCTCCCTGTCACAACCCGAGGCTAATTTTTAGGGCAGTCCGGGCGTTTCGCCTGAGACTTCCCCACCATGTATGACTAAGAAGCTGAAAAATTGCAACAGTTTCACAGATGGAGGGCGGGTGGTTTTCAAAATGTGCCTCTTGCCTAAGAGCGGCGCACATTCGTTAAAAAATGCAAGAGCTTCAAGGATTGAGGGTGGTTTCCAAAATGTGGCTTTCGCTTTAGCGCGGCGCAAATTTGTTTTTTAATTGCAAGAGATTCACGGGTTGAGGGCGGGTCGTTTTCAAAATGTGGCTCTCGCCTTCGCGCGGCGCACAGTCGTTTTAAAAAGTGCAAGAGCTTCACGGATCGAGGGCGGTTCTTTTTCAACATGTGGCTCTCGCCTTAGCGCGGCCCACATTCGTTCACAAGATTTGCAAGAGTTTCACGAGTTCCCATCAGCAACGTAGCAGAAATGGTGTGTTCAAAGGATTCAGGATTACGCGGGCGCAACAGTTACGCTGATTCGCTGTGCTGGAGGCCCAGGGATGACGTTCTCGCACGATTCAGGATCGTCAACACGAAATAGTCAGGTTGATCCGTGGCGTTGGAATCCCCGGAGCACTGTTTTGGCATGCTTGAGGGTCTTCAAACGGTCGTCTTTCAACGAGGCAGTTCCTTCAATGGAAATGAACCGTTGTAGGGGCCTATGAAGAGGGAGCTTGGAGGGTGGGTGTACTCCAACAACGTTGATGACTCTTGGGTTTACACTGGTCTTCCTCCTCCTCCCCCTCCTCCTCCACTTCCTCCTCCTCCGCCTCCAATTTACTCACCCACCCTCATCATCATACCGTTCAGTATCGGAATCGCCACCATCACCTCCATCATTGTCATCCTCATCATCATCGTCATCATCATCAGCGGCATCATCATCATCAGCATCATCATAATCATCAACATAATCGTCATCATCATCATCATCATCATCATCATCATCAGCAGCAGCAGCAGCAGCACCATCACCCTCACCACCACCATCGTCATCATCAGCAGCAGCATCGCCACCATCATCATCATCACCACCAACAACAACTCGGTGTTCCCATCATTCCTGGAGCCCATCTCCTCATTTACCTACTTATAATGGTCATCCGCCTGCGTATATTGTTTCCGCGTTTCTCCATACGTCTGCTTCTCATCTCCCTCTCCCCGTGCTGCTCATCCTGTTACTCGCCCCCTATCCTAACCACCAACATCATCACAATCATCGTCGTCACCACCACCACCACCACCATCCCCATCATGAGGACCATCATCAACAGCAGCAGCGGCATCATCATCATCAGCAGCAGCATCATCATCATCAACATCATCATCAGCATCGTCATCATCATCATCATCATCATCATCATCATCATCATCATCATCGGCAGAAGCAGAAGCAGAATCTGCATCACCATCATCATCATCAACACCAGCATCAGCATCAGCATCAGCATCAGCATCAGCATCATCATCATCATCATCATCATCATCATCATCGTAATCAGCATCATCATCGTCAGCATCATCATCAGCAGCAGCAAAATCATCATCAGCATGAGCATCATCATAATCAGCCTCAGCATCATCACCATCATCATCAGCATCATCAGCATCGTCATCCTCATCATCAGCATCATCAGCACTACCATCATAATTAATCATCATCATCGTCATCATCAGCATCATCATCAGCATCATCAGCATCATCATCGTCATCGTCGTCATCATCGTCGTCATCGTCATCGGTATCGTCATCATCATCAGCAGCATCATCATCAGCGTCATCATCGTCATGATTGTCAGCATCAGCATCATCATCATCAGGATCGTGATCCTCATGATCATCAGCATCATCATGAGCAGCAGCAACAGCAGCAGCAGCAACATCAGCATCAGCATCAATCTGAGCATCCGCATCATCTGCAGCTTCAGCATCAGCATCAGCATCAGCATCATCATCATCAGCAGCAGCAGCATCAGCATCGTCATCACCATCATCACCACCACCACCATCATCATCATCATCAGCAGCAGCATCATCGTCGCCATCATCGTCATCGTCGTCGTCATCATCAGCAACATCATTATCAACATCCTTATCATCGCCAGCATCGCCATCATCGTCATCAGCAACTACATCATCACCATCATCATGATCATCGCCTTCATCATCATCACCATCGTCAGCATCAACAACATCATCTGAATCACCGTCATCGTCATCATCATCGTGATCATCATCATCATCATCATCATCATCATCATCATCATCATCATTATCATCATCATCCGCAGCTGCATAACCATCAGCATCAGCAAAATCATCTCCGTCATCACCACCATAATCATAATCATCACCAGCAGCAGCAACATCGCCATCATCGTCACCCTCATCATCACCCTCATCATCACCTTATCCTCCTCCTCCTCCTCCTCCTCCTCCAAGTATTCTTCATCCTCGGATGAGGATGTAGGAGGTGGAGAAGGAGGAGCAGGCGGACGAGGAGGGCAGAGAAAACAAAGAGGAGGATCACGACGACGATGACGATGGCGACCTCTCGTGGCAACCAAGGCCGGCTCTCCAGCGTTGCCTTGCTCTTCGCCAGGCGCGGGATCCGGCGCAGCGCCTCTCCGGGGAGGGCGGATCGACGAGGATTGGGGAAGAGGAAGATCATCGATGATCGAGAGCTGAGGAGGGCGGAGGGAGGAGGAGGGAGGAGGAGGGAGAGGCGCAGGAGGAGGAGGAGGATTGAGATCGAAGATCGAGGAGGATTGATGGGGAGGGTCCAGGATCGGCAAGGGGGGACGAGGAGGAGGGAGAGGAGGAGGAGGACGAGGAGGAGGAGGAGGAGGAAGAGGAGGAGGATGATGGAGGCAGAGAATGATGGAGGTGAAGGACGAGGAGGATCGAGGACCAAGGACTGAGGTTTTTGAATGTTTTTCCCAAACCAGTGCCTGCACTGACAGGCCTTCGCGGATCTTTTTTTGGATTTGGCAAAAAAACAACCGACTTCGGGGGTGGCCGGGTTCCCAATTTCCCAAGATTGCGGCGTTTGCACCACAAAATCCGGCACGTCTCGATGGGCGACCGTGTTGTCGAGTTCCCGGGTCCCCGAGAGTGCGCCCCCGATTTCGGTGGGCGGTTAAGTTCCAGGCATTATGGCTTGCGGGTTCCCGGAATTGTGAGAACTTGGCGAAAGAGAGGCAGGGTAGAGAGTAGAGCGTAGCGAGCGAGTAGAGCAAGGAGAGCCACCTTCGTCATGCGCTGCTCTCACCAATCAGTAATGCGACGCCTATCTATTTTCTACGAACAACTGGTTCAGGCTTTCTCCGGTCTGGAAATTACCTTTCGGGGCCTTCTGGGGCGTTCTCGTAGCCTCGGCTGGATCTGCCCCATAGCTTTGGCCAGAACACTATCCGAGGGAGGTCCAGGAGGGTGGTTTTAGGTCAAACCCGAGCCGTCGAAACCGCCTCTTCACTCCTCCTGGAACTCCTCCTTTTCCTCCCTCCTGCTCCTCCTCCTCCTCCCTTCTGCTCCTCATCCTCCTCCTCCTCCTCCTCCTCCTTCTCCTCCTCCTCCTCTTCCTCCACCTCCTCCTCCTCCTCCTTCTCCTCTTCCCCCTCCTCCTCCTCTTCCTCTTTCCCCGCTTCCCCTTCCTTATAAACAACTCCTCCCTGTCGCGCCACCAGACGTGTCCGTAGGCCCAGCCGAGAGCTTCGCTGAAAACCTTCTGACAAACTACTACCGGAGCTTAAAACTTCGAACCGTCAGACGGACGGAGGGAGGTACCTTTTCAAAATAATTGTCTCGTCTAAGCGTCGCCCATAATCGTCTCTAAAGATCCCGACATGTGCACGGATGGAGGGCGGCATCTTGTCAAAACGTGGCTCTCGCCTCAGCGCCGTGCAGATTTGTCTGTTGTCTTCCAACAGGTGCACTGATGGAGACCACTACGCTTACAAAATGGGGCTTTCGCCTGAGACCCCCCCTCTAGAAGGTATCGTCACAGATGTGACATTGTGTCATGTTTACACTGATGCAGGGCGGCTCCTTCTCAAAACGGAAATCTCGCCTGCGTTTTCGTTTCAAAGCTAGCTCGAAGGATGGACGGCGGCTTCGTTGGAGGTGGAGCTACCGCCTGAATCGCGGGTCTATAGGGCGATCGTTTTGTGCGGGGGCGCGAGTCGCAGTGAAAAACGCGCAAGCAGGGGCCACAGAGGAGGGGACTTGGGACGGAAAGGTGTATTGCGGCATCATTGATACATCTTGGGTTTCCTCTAGTCCTATTCCCTCCTCCTACTCTTCCTCCTCCTCATCATCGTCATCAGCATCATCAACATCAAAATCATCATCATCATCATCATCATCATCACCATCATCAGCATCATCATCATCATCAGCCATCTCACCATCATCAGCATCATCACCACCAGCATCATCATCACCACCATCATCACCACCACCATCAGCATCATCATCAGCAGCATCCTCATCATCACCACCCTCGATGTCATCATCATCATCGTCATCAGGGTCACCAGCATCAGCAGCATCATCTTCACCATCGTCATCATCAGCGGTATGAAAATCACCATCATCAACACCATCACCATCAGCGGCATTAGAATCACCATCATCAACACCATCACCTTCCTCATCAACACCATCATCCGGGGGGGACAGCGCGGGCCGCCACGTAGCCAATGCGCTGTGCACTCGGAGGACGCAAACTCTGGCGGCGAGCCAAGATGTATTCTAACCGCTGGTACGTGCTTTCAGAGGTTATACTGAACCTTCTCGAAAGGCAGGCAGGCTTCCAGAAGGCTTCGCAGAAGGCCGCCCCCCTCGCCCAAGGGAGTGGGAGGGTGGAGTGGGGCACAGCGCGGGCCACTGGGTCGCCCTCGGTGGAGGCTGACGAATGCCCGCGGAAGCGGGCGGAAACACAGCGAAGACGGTTTTGCCAGTACCGTCAGAAACCTACTTTGCACGAGCATCCGGCCCAGGGGACAGCCACCCAGGGAGTCGGGGCGACTCTGCCACCGCCCCAGGGGGCAACCTTCGCAGGGTGGCAGGCGCGCTGGGGGTTGGCGCGCAGGCCTCCCAGAGCGTCGGGGCTGGGGGGCGCGGTGATGCATGAGAGGGGAAGACTGCGCGAGGAGAGACTGAGGGCAATGGTCCCTGCAGGCTAAATCTAGCTCTAATAGAAATATAAGTGGGCTGGGTCCAGCACTCATCGAATCTCACTAATGTTCGATCCAGCGCTAAGAGAATCCTGCGAGGGCTCCATCCAGCTGTAGCAACATCCTTCGAGGGGTCGATCCAACTCTTTCAAAATCCCATAAGGGCTCGACCCAGCTCGGATGGAATCCTACTCGGGTACGATCCAACTCTAACAAAAACCAACTAGGGCTGGATCCAGCTCTGATAGAATCCTGAGAGGGCTCGATCCAGAAAAATAATAAAGTCCTACTCTGGCTTGGTTCAGCTCTACTACAAACATTCCAGGGCTGGACGCAGGCCTGATGGAATTCGACTGAAGCTCGATCCGAACGCAAAATCTCGTATAGAATTGAAACCAGCTGTGAAACAATCCGACTAGGGCTCGGTCCATCCGCAATGGAATTTTACAAGGGCCGGATCCAGCTCTCATTAAATGCTGATAGGGTTCGCTCCAGCATTAATAGCAACCTGCTAAGGCTCGCTACAGCTATCATCGCATCTCACTAGGGCTCGATCGTCGTCATCGTCGTCGACGTCGACGTCGTCATAGGCGTCCTCGTCGTCGTCGTCGTCGATGTCGTTGTCGTCATCGTCGGTCATGGTCTTCGTCGTCGCTGTCGTCGTCGTCGGCGTCGGCGTCGGCGTCGGCGTCGGCGTCGGAGTCGTCGTGGTCGTGCGTCGTGCGTGGTGCGTCGTCGTCGTCGTCGTGGTCGTCGTCGTCGTCGGCGGCGGCGGCGGCACTGTCGTCGCGGACGGCGGCGTCGGCGTCGGCGTCGGCGTCGGCGTCGGTGCCGCCGTCGTCGCCGCCGTCGTCGTCGTCGTCGTCGTCGCCATCGCCGTCGCCGTCGCCGTCGCCCTCGCCATCGCCGTCACCGTCGCCGTCGCCGTCGCCGTCGCCGTGGCCGTGGCCGTCTCCGTCGCCGTCGCTGTCACCGTCGCCGTCGCCGTCGTCGTCCGCGGCAGCGACGTCGTCGTCATCCGGGGGGGGGAGATTTGGACCCCTCGAACAAGTTTTTCCGGGGGGAGGTCTCTGGACCCCTCCGAATATTTTCCCTGGGGGGGGAGGGGGGGGCAGCATCCTGGACCCCGTGGAAAAATGTTCCCCGGCGGGGGGGGGGTCCAGAACCCCCCTCACCTCTCTCTCTTTCGCGCGGCGCCTCGCGCCCACCCCTGGTTTGGGGAGGGGGACCCCCCCCTGCCAGCAGCGGCAGAAAGAGCTCTTTCTCATCATCATCAGAGCGTCGTCATCAGGAGCAGCTGCAGCCTCAGCGTCGTCATCAGCGTCAGCGTCAGCATCCTCCTCATCACCACCATCATCAGCAGCATCATCCTCACCACCATCACCACCACCATCAGCAGCAGCATCATCATCCTGCCTCCTTCTGTTCCTCCTCCTCCTCCTCCTCCTCCTCCTCCCCCTTCTCCTCCTCCTCCTCCTCCCCCTTCTCCTCCTCCTCCTCCTCCTCCTCCTCCTCCTCTCCTCCTCCTCCTCCTCCTCCTTTCTCCTCCTCTCCTCCTCCTCCTCCTCCCTCCTCCTCCTCCTCCTCCTCCTCCTCCTCCTCCTCCTCCTCCTCCTCTCCCCTCCTCCTCCTCCTCATCTCCTCCTCCTCCTCCATCCTCTCTCCTCCTCCTCCTCCCTCCTCCCCTCCTCCTCATCCTCCTCCTCCTCCTCATCCTCCTCCTCCGCCTCCCCCTCCGCCTCCGCCAACGCCTCCTCCTCCGCGACTCCTCCTTATCCTACTCCTCCTCCTCCCCCCTCCTCCTCCTCCTCCCTCCTCCTCCTCCTCCTCCTCCCTCGTCCTCCTCATCCGCCTCCGCCTCCGCCTCCGCCTCGGCCTCCACCTCCTCCTCCTCCTCCTTCCTCATCCTCCTCCTTCCTCCTCCTCCTCCCTCACTCCTCCTTACCTACCTACCTACTACTACTACTACTACTACTACTACTACTACTACTACTACTACTACTACTACTACTACTACTACTACTACTACTACTACTGACTACTACTACTACTACTACTACTACTACTACTACTACTACTACTACTATTACTACACTACTACTACTACTACTACTACTACTACTACTACTACTACTACTACTACTACTACTACTACTACTACTACTACTACTACTACTACGACTACTACTACTACTACTACTACTACTACTACTACTACTACTACTACTACTACTACTACTACTACTACTACGACTACTACGACTACGACTACGACTACTACTACTACTACTACTACTACTACTACGACTACGACTACGACTACGACTACGACTACGACTACGACTACTACTACTACTACTACTACTACTACTACTACTACTACTACTACTACTACTACTACTACTACTCCTCTGGCCTCCTACTGCTCCGCCTGGAGCCTCCTGTA